GGGGCTGGGCGCGGTGGCTCATGCCTGTAATCCCAGCACTTTGGGAGGCTCAGGTGGGCAGATCATCTCAGGTCAGGAGTTCAAGACCAGCCTGGCCAACATGGTGAAACCCCGACTCTACTAAAAATACAAAACTTAGCTGGGCGTGGTGGCGGGCACATGTAATCCCAGCTACTTGGGAGGCTGAGGCAGGAGAATCGTCTGAACCTGAGAAGCAGAGGTTGTAGTAAGCCAAAATCACATCACTGTACTCCAGCCTGGGTGACAGCAAGTCTCCATCAAATAAATAAGTAAATAAATAAATAAATGGAAAAATTATCTATAGCTCCAACATTCAGAGATAATCATATTAGTGAGTACTTTTTTCAGGGCATAAACTTGTGTTTAAGGGGAGAGTGAACACTAGTGCCTGTACATGTGGTCTGGCATGTGAGGACTTGATGAAAGGCATCATCAGAACTGTGTCACTAACACATACGTCAGCTGGGACCATAGTGTACCTCAGTCTAGGCTGGAAGAACAAGAACATTCCAGTCCTGGCCTAAAAGCTTCAGACCTGCAACTCTTCAGCTAACCTTTCTTATCTTCATTCAGCCCACAGTGGAGAGGAAGCTGGCAGTTAAAACAAAGCTATTTCTCCTCTCTTTTTTTCTTTTTTTCTCTCCTCTCTTTTTGTAATGCTATAAACTGAGAAGGGGGGCAACAGGAGGAAGACACATCAGGGGAGACAGTATGGATGAGAAAGCTTTCTGCTGCAGTACAAGGGCCAATTAGTTTTTATTACATAAGGTAGCTTCCTCAAGATTTGTTTAATATTCACATGTCTACAAGCCCATCACTGATGTGAAGGGTAAGAGAAAAAGGTATGCATAAGGAGTTCCCACCAGACAACCTCCCCTTCTGGGTGGTAAGGACAGATGTGCTGGTTAAAATAAAGGCCACAGATGAGACTTCAAAATCCTCCTGTACTAATCAGCTCTATTGTTCCAAGGCCCAATGCACTTGAAAATGCATGGGCTTTTAACTACAGGAAAACTTGAGGGCAAGAAAGGTTAGTATAAATCCTTCAACTACATGCAGAACAATTCAAGTAAAACTGCACACCCTTCTGGCCAGTATAATTCTCAGCCTCAGACAACCAAGTAGTCCTCAAAATGCTGACTTCATGCACAGGGGGCAGCAGGTGCCACTCCTGTACCACACATTCCAGTCCCAGGCCATTTTCAGTTTGATTGGCTTAAATGTTTGTTTCAAGTACACTATAGTTTCCAGCACTGCTCTCAATCTTATATGAATAAACGAGCTTACTATTTTTGTCTTACGTAGTTACAGATCAGTGAGGATATACCAGATGAGGGCTTTGAGCACAAACTGTACATGGGTTCTATGGAGATGCTTTATCACCATAAAGGGACAATAAGGCCTCTTCTTCCTCTCCCAGAGCCAGCAGAATTATACCTTCTTCTGCTTTATCTAACAGATTCCAGGAAGTACTTTGCTTGAACAAAAGAGTTCCAGTGCTAACTGCCTGACCAGGTAGTCTTTAAGATAAGCTTCATGACAGACAGACCTCTTAACCAAGGCCATATGAAATGTAAGGCAGAGAAGATAAACTTTTTCCAATCCAGGAGTGTTCTGTACTCTCTGAACACAGCAAAAGCCCTCATTCCTGCCTACAATTTTCCTCCAGCTTCATTCCCTTCTGATTTTTCCATGCGAACTCACCTTTAAGGCCACTAACTGCACTTTCTACTCACCTTCCATTCCCCCTTCTTCTTGACCTTCTTTATCACATCATGCATAATCTCTAAAAAAGGACAGAAAGAGAAAATAAATTTAATATAATATCAAAGACTTCTCCATCTCTCTGTTAGACAAGATCATTTCCCACCTTAGGCTTTGTGCTTCTGAATCATGAAATTCACCAACTGGTTTACTGAGCCATAATCAACCCACCATAAAAATAGTTATTGGCCAGGCAATAGTGGCTCACATCTGTAATTGATACTAGGGATTCAGTGATGAACAAAATAGCACTTTGGGAAGACGAGGTGGGTATATCACCTAAAGTCAGGAGTTCAAGACTAGCCTGGCCAACATGATGAAACCCACTCTCTACTAAAAATACAAAAATTAGCCAGGTATGGTGCTGCATGCCTATAATCCCAGCTACTCGGGAGGCTGAGACTGGAAAATGGCTTGAGCCCAACACCAAGCACATCTGCAGAGAGATCTCATCCCCAAATCACCATTTTGGTAAGCCCCATTTCCTGAACACCACAAACACACACACACATGACCAGCTGTGAGGCTCCATAGGAAAGTCCATTCTTGCTACTCTGAAAACCCAAGTAACACATGTCCAGAGTGACTCGAAGGGCAACAGCTGTCATCAGCACGTATGCTTCAAACAGACAATTTTCTAAGACTCAATGGTTCCTAACTCTGCTTTTGACTATCTTTAGTAATCCGGTATGTCGTAAGTGCCTAAAGTTTTAAGCACTTTTTTCCTGATTATAAAACAGACACACACACACACAGAGTGCAGTAAACTTGGAAAAGACAGAAAAATATAAAGAAAAAATTCTGGCCAGGGGCAGTGGCTCACACCTGTAATTCCAGCACTTTGGGAAGCCAAGGTGGGCGGATCAACTGAGGGCAGGAGTTCGAGACCAGCCTGACCAATATGGTGAAACCCTGCCTCTACTAAAATATAAAAATTAGTTGGGTGTGGTGGTGTGCACCTGTAACCCCATCTACTCAGGAGGCTGGGGCAGGAGAATTGCTTGAATCTGAGAAGTGGGGCCGTGATTGCGCCACTGCCCTCCAGCCCAGGCAACAGACCCAGACTCCGTCTCAAAAAAAAAAAAAAAAAAAATTCCATGTATTACTTGTTTTTTTGAGATGGAGTTTCACTCTTGTTGCCCAGGCTGGAGTACAATGGGATGATCTTGGCTCACCACAACCTCCACCTCCCAGGTTCAAGTGATTCTCCTGCCTCAGCCTCTCGAGTAGCTGGGATTACAGGCATGTGCCACCAAGCCCAGCTAATTTTGTATTTTTAGTAGAGATGGGGTTTCTCCATGTTCATCAGGCTGGTCTCCAACTCCTGACCTTAGGTGATCCGCCCACCTTGGCCTCCCAAAGTGCTATGATTACAGGCATGAGCCACCATACCTGGCTCCATATATTACTTGTGTACTAAAAAACAATCAGGCCGGGCGTGATGGCTCACACGTAATCCCAGTACTTTGGGAGGCTGAGGTGGGCAGATCACCTGAGGTCGGGAGTTCAAGACCAGCCTGGCCAACATGGTGAAACCCCAACTCTACTAAAAGTACAAACATTAGCTGGGTGTGGCATCTGTAATCATGCCAACTTGAAATGCATAATTAACATTTTTGTTTATTGGCCGGGCACGGTGGCTTATGACTGTAATCCCAGTACTTTGGGAAGCTGGAGGTGGGTGGATCACCTGACATCAGGAGTTTGAGACCAGCCTAACCAACAGGGTGAAACCCTGTCTCTACTAAAAAATACAAAATTAATTGGGCCTAGTGGCACACGCCTGTAATCCAAGCTACACAGAAAGCTGAGGCAGGAGAATCCCTTGAACCCAGGAGGCAGAGGTTGCAGTGAGCCGAGATGGTGCCATTGCACTCCAGCCTTTGCAAAAAGAGCAAAACTCCATCTCAAACAAAACAAAAAAACACACAGTTTATTTCATACTAGCTTTTTCTATGCACTTTTACATAGTTAAGATCATGTTGGCCAGGTGTGGTGGCTCATGCCTATAATTCCAGCACTTTGGGAGGACAAGACAGGCAAATCACTTGAGCCAGCAGTTTGAGACTAGGTTGGACATCATGGTGAAAATCCATCTCTACAAAAAAATACAAAAACTAGCCAGTCATGGTGGCACATACCTGTAGTCCTAGCGACTCAGGAGGCTGAGGTAGTGGGACTACTTGAGCCAGAAAGGCAGAGTTGCAGTAAGCCAAGATCATGCCACTGTACTCTAGCCTGGGTGACAGAGGGAGACTCTGACTCAAAAAAAGAAGATCATGCTGTAGGTATGTAATTTTATATTACGCTTTGTCACTTAACATACTCATTTCACCCATTTTAATAAAAATGCTTCCTAGGATTTTAAATGCCTGCATAATAGTCCACTGTCAACAACATTCCCAATAACCATTTAGATTACTTTGCATGTTTCAGTGTAGTGAAAAACTGGAAACCAATATATCCATAATAAGGCAGTGGTTAAGTTAATTAAGTTAATTAGGTTACATTTGTACAATGGAATACTATGTATCCACTGGAAATAATTATATGGGAAAATACATACTCACTCATTCCAGCTTTCACTCAATAAGCATTTGTTGGTAACCACTACTTGCCAGCCATTGTACTAGGCCATGGGAATGAACAAGATACTATGCCGCTCAGCTCCTGTGGAGCTGCTGCTCTAGGGAAGGAGGCAGCCACTAAATGGAAAGAGCAAATGCATCTTCTCATAAGTGCTCCAAAGTAAATAAATAAGGTGCTATGATTTTTCTAAAAAGGGTGTGGACTGCCTACTTAAGTAGGGAGTCAGGCAAGGCCACTCTAAGCAAGATGGACCCAACAAGGAAGAAGTCAGCCAAGAACTAGGAAAAGGAGAAGGAACAGCACAAAGTCTTGTGGAAAAAGGAAAATGAGCTTGACATTTTCTGGGAAATGAAGATGATATAAGCTAGAGTTGGAGGTCAGATCATATACAGCCTCGTGGTCCTTGATAAGGAGTGTGAGTTTATCTGAAGGGCATTGGAGAGCCACAGAAGGTAAGGACGTAATCTGATGAGCTACTGAGATCCAAGATGGAGCGGGCAAGAACAGAAGCAGGGAGTGGAGTCAGGAGGCCTTTCCAACAGTGCAGGCATGACAGAGGAGATGGGGAGCAGTGGGTAGACTGGATATAATAGACTGTGGAGGTAAAGCCAGCAGGGCTAGCTGATAAGCTGGATGTGGTGGAAAAGAAACATAGCTAACTCCCAGATTTTTGGTTTAAGCCAAGAAACTGATGTAGAGACATTCAGGGAGCTTTAGCAGGAGAAGAACTGGTCTGTAGGAGAACATAAGGAGTTCTATTTTAGTTGTTTTAAGAATAAGAAGGCTGGCTGGGCGTGGTGGCTCACGCCTATAATCCCAGCACTTTGGGAGGCTGAGGCGGGCGGATCACAAGGTCAGGAGATGGAGACCATCCTGGCCAACATGGTGAAACCCTGTCTCTACTAAAAATACAAAAAAATTAGGCGGGTGTGGTGGCACACCATCTGTAGTCCCAGCTACTTGGGAGACAGAGGCAGGAGAATTGCTTGAACCCAAGAGGCAGAGATTGCAGCAAGCCAACATCGCGCAGACATCGCACCACTGCACTATAGCCTGGGCGACAGTGCAAGACTCTGTCTCAAAAAAAAAAAAAGAAAAGAAAAGATTGAGATGGCTAAGGCACATTCAAGGGAAGACACTGAATAGGTGGCTGGAGGTAGCTCTTGGGCTTGGAAGCACAACCTCAGCTGGAGTGAAACACTGGGGACTTATCATCAAATAGAGGCAGGAGGGACAACTGCTAAAAATGACTCAAAGAGCAATGAGATGAGGACAGACATGGTCTTTGTAGACCTTGACAAGTGTCTCAGTGAAATAATAGGAATGAAGCCAGATTAAAATGGAAGAGGAGGAAGACAAGACAGACTATCTCAACAACTCTTAGAGAAGTTTTGCTTTAAAAGGTAGCAGAGAAAAGGCATGAAAACGAACAGGGTAGACAGAGACATAAATGCAAGGGCAGGATTTGTTTTTTAAAGACGTGAAAGATTACAGCATTTTTAGTGATGCTGGTAAAAAGTCAAAAGGGAAGGGGAAACTGATGATGCAGGAGAGATAATGGAGCAATAAACGAAGGAAGTCACTGAGGAGGAGGAAGGAGCTTGAGCTGAGACACAAGAGGAGAGCCTGACCTGGGACAGGAGGCATCCTGTGGGACGGACAGGAAAGTCACAAATGGGCTTGGAGACATGGTGGCAGAGGTGAGGGGTTTCCTTGTTGGAGATGAAGTCATTGGCTAAGAGTGGCAGAGGCATGTTATATATGGAAGCTTTGAAGAAAGAAGGTATTACATATCTCCCCAGAGATTGGGCAAGTAAATGTGCTATGGAAATGTTTTAGCATTCACAGTACTAAGGACTACTTTAACGTTCATGACCGTGAATTTAAAGTTAGACCACGCAGCTTAATGTTTTTTCCAAATAATGTTCAGCTGTCGAGGTACAAGAAAAGAAGGCTAGTTTCAAATAAGGTTAGAGTTTTCATATATAAGCACAAAAGAGAAAGAAAATGTTCACAATATATGGCGAAGGGCAAAAAAAATATGCAACAACTATTTTTAAAGCAGATATGCACAGGAAAATTAGAAAAACTCACACCAAAAGCTTATTTGTGTGCAATAATGTTATAATTAATCTTTACTTGCCAATTTGTGCCTTCCAATGTTGTCCCAAGCTTTCTGCATAAGAAAAATGCTCTCAAAATAATGTGTCAGTGAACAACTTTGTGCCCAGGGCTTTTCTTAGCATGAACTATTCTGCTAGGGCAGCTTTCTGAGTATGGAATAAACCAGTAAAATGTCTAAATGTTCTAGGCTCCTGATAAACTCTGCTGAATGACTTTCCAAAAGTATGTCTCCCACCCTCACCAGCACTATGTGGTTCTCCAAATTAACATACTAACTGATCAAATATCTTGAGGTTTATTTATTTTCAT